TGTTGGATGTCCTGGATACCCCATGCGTCCCCCCCATGAAGCACGACAAGGACAGGGATGCCAAATCCTCTCCCCTCAAAGCCAGGGACAGCAGCGGCCCCACAGCAGCGAGGTGACAGCCACCACCTCTGCCCCAAGGGCCCAGCCCCTACCTGGCCAGAGCGACAGAGAAAGGGCACCGCGTGCGATTGCTACATGGCACTGGGGCTTTGCTGCCGGCGGCGGCGGGGACAGGACAGTTTCTGCTGCATGGAGTCAGCCAGGCTGGCCGGCGAGCCCGACACGGTGGGGAAGTGGGTGAGCCTCGGTGTGTGTGGCAAGATTTCGGCAGAGGATTCGTAGCTGCAGGAGAGACAGAGAGAGAGAGAGAGAGAGAGAGAGAGAGAGAGAGAGGAAGCAGGAGGGGACAGAGAGAAGATGAGGAAAGAGAGAGGAAAAGGAGGGGAGAGAGAGAGAGATAAAAAGCAGGAGAGTTTTTGGAGCGAGATTGCTGCAAACCCAGCGCAGGCACTCTGCTGTCCCCTCCGGCTGCTGTCCCCTAGCCCAGGCTGGGGTGGCCCCGGGGCCGTGCCTGCAGGCTCCTCTGGCCCACAGGCCCCCCGGACAGGGCTGGAGCATGGAAAAGCAAAGGCTGAGACATGGAGAGAAGGCAGTTCCTGTTGGCACGGGCAGAGCCAGGCACCCAGAGCCCACGGGAGAGCTGGTCTGGGCACTGGGAAGGCAGTGGCAGAGCGGCCAGGGGCTGTGCAGGAAGCAGAGCGATGTGGTGGCCCTTTCCTGCTGCTGAGGACAGCGTGGCTGCAGTGATGGAGGCAGAGTGAAGGTAACTGCCTGCATGGGGAGGCAGGGCTGGGAGCCACGAAACAGATCCAGATATCACCCATTGGCACCTCTTTGCCAGGTCTGCATCTGCTCCTACCTTCCCCACAGCGGTGCCTGCGCTCGCTGCAGCACCAGACCCTCACTGCCCACTCCCAGGGCAGGCTATGGCCACTGAGACACCCCACGCACAGGCAGCTCGCTGCGTGCAGTGTGGGGAGGAGCAGCACGCACCGGAGCTGCACAGGGGACCTACACCTGGTGGGATTCCTGCAGTGGGAGCCAGGGCCCCCCAGGCACGAGCCCTGTCACGTCCCACTTCCTCTGCCTGCAACCGCTGCGACTTCAGGGGGGTCCAACCCCAGGGGCTGTCAGGGCTGCGACTCCGCAGCCCCATAGCGGGCAGTGCTTTGGGCTGCAGTGGGTTTGGGGGCCATAACCCCCCAGCCCCAGCTGCCAGGCTCCCTGCGGGGCCTGTCGCTGCCAGGAGGGCCGGCCTCGCAGCTCCTCTCCCCAGTTTCCTGGCGCTGTCGGCGTGAGTCAGGGCTGCAGGATCCCAGGTGCACAGGAAGGACGATCCCAGGACACCCAGCGCCTGCAGCACCGATCCTCAGAAGTGCAGATCAAAGCAGGGGCAGGTGCTCCCAGCTGCCAGCCCGCTGGGAACATGCGGACCTGCGGATCCCAGGGAGGGGAAGGAGCCGAGGGCGGCCGCAGCCCTGCTGTGCAGCCACCAGAGCCCTCACTGGTTTCCCTCTGAGCAGCCTGGAGCTCCGGAGCAGGGAGCATTGCTTTGGGACGGGTGTTTCCCTTTCCTTCTCTGCTTCAGCCATCCTTAAACTGCACTGGGCCATCGTGAGTGTCAGGAGGAAGGAGCCAGGCTCTGCTCTGGGATGGCCAATGCCAGGACAAGGGGCAATGGTCCCAAGCTGGAGCACAGGAGGTTCAAGCTGAAGATGAGGCCAAAGTTTGTCAGTGTGAGGGTTATGGAGCATGGCCCAGGCTGCCCAGAGAGGTTGTGGAGTCTCCTTGTGTGGAGACACCCAAAGCCCTGGCCGTGTTCCTGTGTGACTGCTCTGGTGATCCTGCTGTGGCAGGGGTTGCACCGGGGGAGCTTTCCAGGTCCCTTCCCACTCCTCATATTCTGGGATTCTGTGATCACTGAGCCTTGGACACAACCAATAGCCAAACTCAGCGGAGAAACATCTCCCAGATGGGCCAGGCCATGCTCTGCAGGGCTCAGAGCAGACAAGTCAGGCAGGAAGCTGCCTGCTGATGGCAAATGCCTGGAGCATGGCAGGCTGAGAGGGGCTGCAGAGCAACAGCACAGCACAGCCCCCTTCCTCTGCACCTACAGACCCCAGGCAGGGGGGACCGCTGCAAACCAGGGTCCTTCACTGAGCAGGGAGCCTGGGATGTGCTCAAACCAGCCCTGGCTGCTCTCAGAGCCAGATCCAGCCCCATTCTCCCCCACCCACGGGCCCTGGGACACAATGACCAAGTATTCGGCACCAGGTGTGCGGTCCCACCCTCCCCTGCCTGCCAGCGCACGGGAAAGGTTTGTCACCGGGGCGTAAAGCAAGACCAGACGCCGCCTGCCCGTTGGTACCGCACCAAGGCTCCCGAGGAGGCGGCTGGAGCCAGGGCCGGCGTGTACGAACACAGCCCCGCTCCCTCCACCCACCCACGGGCACACGCACACCCCGAGCGTGCCCGGATGAACCCGTCCCGCCAGCTGTGCCCGGGCGTGGGAACATCTGCACGCTCCGTGCGCTCCAGCGCTGCGGGCGAAACAGCCCCGGCCCCGGCCGACGCTCACCTGAACATTTCGGTTACTTCTCCCTTTGCCAAGGCCACGAGAAGCGGGAATCCGATGCACGCGGGCACCAGGTACAGAAGAGCAGGCTGTCGGGGTGAAAAACAAGCTGTTACACCAAACCACACCGCTCCTCGGGGGCAGCATGAGGCGAGCTCGCCCTGTCCCCTGTCCCCACGGTGTCTGTCACAGCACCATACCAAGGGTTAATGCTCCAGAAAGCTGCTTCCAGAGCCAAGTTACAGCTGCAGCAGCACAAAACCCTCACCTTGAGGCCCCCACACAGACCAGGACAGCACCCATGGTGTGTAGGCACAGAGGGCAGGACTGCAAGGGCAGCCTGGTTGTGAAGAGCCACAAAAACACAGGGCACTTCTTGGGAACGCAGCTTCCTGAAGCAGCCTCGCCCCAAACGGGACTCAGCTCCACGCAAGCTTCGGGCAGCGAAAGGTACAGAAAAGGCAATGCCAAGAGAAGGAATGCATCTGCTTTTTCCTGGCACGGTGCGGGAAGGCCGTGGCCAAGCTGACGTGTCCCGCTCGGGACGTGCATGTGCAGCAGGCAGCACGGCAGAGCTCACCTGGGCGTGCTTGAAGATGTGCATGATGAAGATGGTCAGGCCCAGCCCGAAGATGTAGGCCACAAAACTGGTGTAGAAATACGTGTGCGTGTTCTTCTTCAAGCTGCGGGGAAAGGGAGCAGAGAGCTCGGTCACCTCGGGGCTGGGGAGCCACTGACCGAAACGGAGCTGACCCTGCGCTCGCAGACACCTCCCAGGGTGAGGATCCCTGCACCCCGCTCCCCACACGTGCTGTGTTATTGCAGGGCAGGAGCTGGGATTCCCAGCAGGTGCAGGCAGGATGTGGGTGGAAACACCTGGAAGAGCTGGCGCAGACCCCGGGGCCTGTGCAACAGCAGCGGGAGCGGGGCCACACCACCGCAGCCGCACGAAGCGGCCGCTTCCCGGCAGCTCCCCAGACTTTCGGTGTGGGGCAACGGCTGAAAGCTACAGCCTGGCGGTGGGTGCAGCTTCCCAGTGTAGGAAGGAGCAACCCAGAGGCAGCCGGGCACCGATTTGCAACCACGCAAGCACTTCCCAGCATCCCCAGCTTTTTCCCCACACCATTTCACAGAATC